TGTAGTTGATATAATTTATTTCTCCATCATTATAACTTTCCTTCATTACAAAGAAACGTAGATGGACGTTCAATTTCATGAACAAAGCATCGAGGATAGATTGGGAATGCCGGATTGTTGTAATAATCCCATAATGGCTCAAATTATTGTAATCAATATACTTTCCAATTAATTTTCGACCTTTTTCGGTATTTGCTGATAACGCAATGGTTATAGGGAAGCCATCAAGACTTTTAGTTCGATCAAAATCTAATCCTTCGCATATAGTTTCTGGAAAAAAATCGGATATTTATGTGTAAAATAATTGATATTTTTTTCGCATGTATAAATCGTTAGTTGAAAAATGAATATTCTGTATGAAAAATGAAATAACCTACGCGGATGATACGTTCGTCCATAAAGTGTCCAATTCGATTCTTTCGATGACTTTTTCATTTTTTTCCAGCTGCTAGGTGCTCGATTAGTAAATGGATTATGAGTATAAATTTTAACTTCTCTATCTTTGATGCATAAATAATATGCTACTAATATATCATATTTCCACATATATTGTAATGATTTTTTCGTAAAATTACAAGAATTTTTAGGTAAATTCAATATATAAACTGGTGTCATGGCATCCCACCAAATATTGTCATACATACTTTCAAGAATTTCTCGTAATCGTGTTGATGATGAAGCAGTGATTAGAATGGCATCAATTTTTTTTGCATTGAAACAATTTTTGTTGTATCGTATACATTTTTTCCAAACAATCACAGTGTAGTTGTGCAGTTGTTGTAACCACATTAGATCAAGATTTTCAGAATCATCATTTATAATTATAGTTTTATAATCTTTTTCACAGCGTTCAAAAATCTGAAACTTTAAGAAACTTTTAAACATCAATCCTCGAAAGCATAACACGTACTATTTGACATTTGAACATTTACCAAAACTTCCTGAGTACGGAAATGATTGTGATTTTGTATAAGATCTATTTCGAAACTTATAACGCCAACACTAAAAGCGAATATCACCAATCCACTGAATATTAACATTATGGCTTATCATATGATTTCTTTTATGGAATTTACTCTGAACTAATTCATCCTTATAACTAGATAAGGTCGACATCGAATGCAAAGTGACTGATTAGTCATCACTCTTATTACAATAACATGTATACATATGTTGAATAATAAAACATTCTTTTATACAAATACAAGGGGTGACGACTGTTGATGGTTTCGAAATATACTATAAATTCAGAATGTTTTGATAAAATATCTGATTTGTGTTCCTTATTAAAAATTAGTATATATACAGCATACAGCTTTGTAATCTTTTCGAAAATAGTTTGATTCGTATCCGCTGCAATTACATATAGAATTTTCGGTTACAAACAGTTTTTCTGTACAAAGATGTTCTACGATTGACTTAATAGAAATTTACAATGTTGGATAAGAGATTTATCAATGTTGTTACCGATTTTTTATTGCAATATTATTTTTTAGAGCCATTTGTTGATGAAGATTTTCTACAACAGGCCGTAATTAACAAAAATACTAAAAACAATAACAGATTTCACTTTGTTATGAGACTCTCGACTGATATTGGTAGTTGCTTCCGTATAAGGCTGAGAATTAATAGAATTTTTTGATTTTAATCTGAAAACTAGTGATATTGTTCAAATACTTTTCCTTGTAATTGAAGTAATTGTAGGTTTCTTTGAATTCGTTCCTCATTGCCAAAATCTTATATGTACAAAAGTCTATTGCGCTTGTGATCAAATTAATTTCTAATAGGAAGCAAGACTCGTGCAGTATTAAGTTAAGAATCGGCCCATGTGTTTTCTCGACAGGGATCGAGGTTACACTTCTCAAAAAGAGGAAACTATGGCCAAATACCCTCAAGGAATTTAGATTAATTTATTCATTTCTATTAAAAAAATAAAGAATAATAATATATATATATAATAATAATTCTAATAATAAAAATATAGAATAATATTGTCCATGTAATTTTTGTAACGAAATTGGGCTCAGTTGGTTACTTTCATCATCTACAATAAGGACATCACAATCTTTCTTGTATTGCTTAAAAATCTGTAACTGAAACCACACTATTAAATTCATTAATTAAAATGTAAAGAATTATAATCACTGTAGGTCCATGAAAATTCTTCTTTATTCAACAAAGTTTTCAACAAAATTCAATAAAAAATATCTAGGGTCAGAGTTTTCTACATTAATTATAATATTTTGATACAATTTTTGAAAATTCTGATTATTTTACTTCATAACACAGAGATCTGCAATGATTACTTTGGTTCAAATAAAAAATATCATATGTGAAGCAAAAAATTTACTAGAGCATTGAGAGAACAGGTCATAATCATTGTTTAATTTGTTAGTAAAAACTTCAACACAAAATCAAAAAAATAATACATTTCGAAAAGTTACCATGATTTCTTGTTAACTCACTAAATCATAGTCAGATTTGACAATCAGATAACACAGGAATGAAACACGCAGTAACCAACTAATCAATTCCTCTAAAAGAAAATCGTATTGTGTAGATTTATATTTGTTTCAATATATTGACTAATTAATATTAATAAAATATGTACAATACAATACAAAAATTAAATCTTTTAACTCAATTTAAGATTCATAGTCTTACAAATTTCTTCGATTCTGAATTTACATTTTTTAATATTCGAGAAAATTTTACTTTTCTGAAAATCTATCAAAAACTATTTTATTAACTTCCCATGAGGAAATTATTAAAATTGGGTCGATTAGTGAAATTTGAATTTTCATCATATCTCCACGTTTCATGGTATTTGCAAGCATACTGACCAATTTTTAGAATGATGTGTGTGTACGTACACTGAGAAAAAAATTTCGTTAAATGAAAGAATTTTTTATCCAATAAATAAAAGAAACTTGGAGTATTCTCAAGATAATTAAGAGATACGGTAGTGTCTCGTGCGCCAAACATAAATTGCCGCCATTTAGCCCTTACGTCACGATGAGGCACTACCATGTCTCTATACAAATTATAAGATGATTTTTGCAAGCTATGATTTTTAAATTTACAATTTTTTTCTTATTATAACATAAACATGGGCTAAAATTAAGAATTTGCTCGCAAAGCAATCGTTAACTTTCGATTAAGCATACTATAAAGTATTATCATTGCTTTATTCATAATATACGAAATTGAAAAAATTTTGTTGCGCAAAAATTGAGTAAAATGAGAGTTTATTCATGGAGCAATCATACGTTTTTTTTTAATAAGTTGGGGATCACGCCAAGTTTTTAGTTGTTATGTTTCTTGTGTCATTAAACATACTAAATTTTTTTTCAAAAAAAAACCGAAGAAAATAATTCATTTTAAATATTGTTGATTTGTAGATTTAAATAATTGGCATTTAATGATTTTAGGACTTTTTGTAATTTCATCATTGTCGTTATTTGTGTTTGGCGCACATTTTTGTACAGCCCAGAAGGAGGGGGCTGTTTTTGATGAGATATTTTATTCAGACTAATAGTAGTGTTATCAAAAACACATTTTGTCTTTTGTTTCAATGTTGCGACAAGTTTGAAAACAAATTTTTAAGGTTACGACAAGAATGAAAACAAATGACATTTTATTCATTTGAGTAAATAAAATGATTTCAACGAAATATTCATAATTTCGAAGAAATATATTATTGCGACTATTTGAAATTTCGATGTTAATGATCGAATGAAATATTTTTTGTATGAAGTCAATTTTTTTCTCAGTGTACGGACGTATGTCAGCATTTTTTTTCGTTTTCGATATCTCAAGAACAGATTGAGATATCAACTTTAACCAAAATTTATTCGAAAGATGTTATTATAAAAAAGATTAGAAAGGAATTTGAACGAATTCGGTTGAACAGTTTTTTTTTTATAACAAAAAAACTAAAAATAAAGAAATTAGAAGATTAACTATCTAAAATACTTTTAAGCGAAAGAATAACAATTTTGTTCAAAAATGTACACGGAGAGAAAAATCATATAATTTTTGTAGAGAAAATTTCAGAAAAATTACCATGCTCTCTTATAATGCGTGCGCGATCGACGACCAAAGTAAAAAGTATTTTACGATCATGTAAATATTATTAAATTGAAACGTAAATATTATCAAATTGAAACATAAAGAGTATTAGTCATGGCTTCATAAAAATTGTTGTGCTGGCATGGTAAAATTTAATGTGCTGTATTAGAAAACTTCCTTATCGATTTAGTAAAATTTCTAAGTATGCTTAACAATATTTATATATCAATGTATTAATTTCTCTACAGCTTATTATTTATTTTTGATTCAAAAAAAGGCTGTAACGTAAAAAATTAATAATGTTTTTTTGATTTAGGGAAATTAAGGAATCGCGGTTGAATTTGATAATGATAAAACACTTTTATGAATTATTAAATATATCTTTATTTAAATTAAAACCAATTTTTGAGAATAAATTTCGCACCATTAGATGCTCTTACAAGATTCGTAATTTTAAAGCTAAATAGGTCATCCAAATTTAGTACATCCCACGTATACTGATCGTTGTACAATCGATAACATTCAGTTTTTCGTAGAGGAATGTACTTATTAATTTTTTAACAATAAGACATACTTTAATATTGCTACAATTTTTGTGAATAATTATTATAGTATAGTATAACTGCACATCTTAACTTACTGAAATTTTTCTAAAATATCTTTATTTGGCACTTGGAGAACTGTTTCTAATTGTCTATCTTTTTCAGGGCTGAGTATAAGTCTGCTGAGTAAATTTCTTAAGGTTTTCTTCAAGCATCCATTATCTCGATAATATTTTAAAACACTTTTGCCATCAGCTGAATTTAATAAAAGTTGGTATATAGGCTGTAAAAAAATTTTTAAATATAAATTATTTGTCCTTTGTTCAAATAGTTATTGATCATAAGTTAATGACACTCACGTTGTTGATATTTCTGGACGTTCAAATGCCCTTGTAAATCCTGTAAGATAAAACTATCTAAAAATTGAGAAAGAACACAATTGACTAGTAATTGAAAAAAAATGACAACGGTTAAAAACACTGGGAAAAATGACTACTTTACTACAAAAACCATCATCTTTTGATCACTTATAATTAACGAAAGAAAAATTTTTCAATTTTAATAAATAAATCCACTATTTCACTAACACTGTTAACACTTTTGCACTTTACAAAAGTTGAGTTTGAACAAAAACTGATTCGATATTTTTAATTGTTGTCATTTTTTCGACAAGAAAAGGCTTAGAAGTTGTGTTGTGGGAGTTAGACTATTTAGTATGAACTACTTACCATTTTACTGTAAATAAAAAATAATACCAAAATCAGTTAATTATTTAAGAAATGAATAATAGATATTATGAATGTTAAATATTAGTTGCTATTAAAGTTTGTGAAAGATTACTTACGTCGTTACAAAATGACGCACTTTTATGTGTCACTGTATAATGTATCACTCTCTATTGATAACACAGTCAATTACGCACTGAGGAACAATAAACGTATTCAAACCTGCTTCGAAAAACTTCGAAGATGCCCGATCTTTTCCGACCTTCGATTCTTTCTTATGTTAATAGCAGAATGCACGTTGTTTTAACTTAATAGTAGAATATCTCGAAAACTATGAATCCGAGATCTAGACATAATGCGTACAATTTTTAGAAAATCGCTTTACGAACAAAATGACCCCTTATAGGCTTCTCTACGATTAATAGTTAATGAGATATCATTTTTTTTGTTTAAAATAATTCTCATGCTCAACAGCGTTGATACCTTCTTTCTCTTTCTTTCTTTCTACTATTAGCAGATAGCATTTGAAAATTATAAGACAGCATGGTAAAATATATTAGTTCGTCTAGGACTCTATGGCAGCTTAAATAGTAATTTTTGTAAGAAAAACGATTAAAAAATATTTTTCTGTCGGGAATGGAACTTTTTACTGTGCTGTTTTACAAATTTTACAAAGCTGAATTTTAAGAAAGAATATTTTATCCTTTAAATTTTCTATGATTAATTATAATTTTTATATTTTTGCCGTACAAAATTGACTATGTTCGGCTTTCACACGTCGATTGTAGTGCTGAGCACAGTAATTTTTCTATGAATTTTCTCTCCGTGTAGTCAGTATTAACTAGACATTATTGTTCACAACTAAAATATAACTTTTATCAAACATGCATTGTTTATAACAATATGAATTTGTTACAGACAATTAAAAATGGGAAGTTCATCGTGTTAGCACAGACAAAGTGTACTCAGACCTATTTTTATACTTGCTATCGTATTGATCACTTTTCGAACTACCATAAGTTTATCCTTTAATTAATAATAAAATGCTTATTATGTACTTAATTTTACAGTGATTCAAGTAAATTATAGGATAATTCACTACACACTTGAACATTATAAATAATGAAAGAGTAAATAAACTAATTTACTATTTTCTTGTACATTTATGTCAAGTTGATTTTTCGTAGGTATAGACATGATTAATATTTACTTATAGGGTAAGATCAGATCAATACACTGGAAAAAATCGGATCAGTTTGATTCACTATTCCGTGTTAATTTTCCATTTAACATTTTACAGTTGAGTCTTTTTATAATGCAACTGTCCTTAGAAAATCTTTCATCCCAGATAAGTGTTAAATTTACTTGTAAAAATCTACCAGAGTCGAGAAAAGATTTGAGCCTGTGGAGTTTTACTCAAGATTCCAAGGAAAAAAATCAAAAGCATTTTCTAGCTCTCCATAAAATAATACTATGAATAGCATTCCCAATTAAGACAAGCATTACATTACCAATGTGTACCTAATGTAGCTTAATACCTAACTCGAATTTAGGTAAACCGAATGAGGTGTGAACTCTTTATTAAAAAATAATTCTACTCAAGTCTTCAGTAGAGACCCTAGTAGCCATCAGGAAACAGACGGCTGTCAGACTTACGTATGTTGCTGTCTTTTAGTTTGCTAACGTAAGATCAACATCAGACGTCAGATGCTGCCGAAGAAAGGAAACAGACGTACGTAAAGTCTGTCGACAATTCTGACTACAGATCTTGGCTACTATAGAAAATTCATAGAAAAATTACTGTGCTCAGCACTACAATCGACGTGTGAAAGCCGAACATAGTCAATTTTGTACGGCAAAAATATAAAAATTATAATTAATCATAGAAAATTTAAAGGATAAAATATTCTTTCTTAAAATTCAGCTTTGTAAAATTTGTAAAACAGCACAGTAAAAAGTTCCATTCCCGACAGAAAAATATTTTTTAATCGTTTTTCTTACAAAAATTACTATTTAAGCTGCCATAGAGTCCTAGACGAACTAATATATTTTACCATGCTGTCTTATAATTTTTCAAATGCTATCTGCTAATAGTAGAAAGAAAGAAAGAGAAAGAAGGTATCAACGCTGTTGAGCATGAGAATTATTTTAAACAAAAAAAATGATATCTCATTAACTATTAATCGTAGAGAAGCCTATAAGGGGTCATTTTGTTCGTAAAGCGATTTTCTAAAAATTGTACGCATTATGTCTAGATCTCGGATTCATAGTTTTCGAGATATTCTACTATTAAGTTAAAACAACGTGCATTCTGCTATTAACATAAGAAAGAATCGAAGGTCGGAAAAGATCGGGCATCTTCGAAGTTTTTCGAAGCAGGTTTGAATACGTTTATTGTTCCTCAGTGCGTAATTGACTGTGTTATCAATAGAGAGTGATACATTATACAGTGACACATAAAAGTGCGTCATTTTGTAACGACGTAAGTAATCTTTCACAAACTTAATAGCAACTAATATTTAACATTCATAATATCTATTATTCATTTCTTAAATAATTAACTGATTTTGGTATTATTTTTTATTTACAGTAAAATGGTAAGTAGTTCATACTAAATAGTCTAACTCCCACAACACAACTTCTAAGCCTTTTCTTGTCGAAAAAATGACAACAATTAAAAATATCGAATCAGTTTTTGTTCAAACTCAACTTTTGTAAAGTGCAAAAGTGTTAACAGTGTTAGTGAAATAGTGGATTTATTATTAAATTGAAAAAATTTTTCTTTCGTTAATTATAAGTGATCAAAAGATGATGGTTTTTGTAGTAAAGTAGTCATTTTCCAGTGTTTTTAACCGTTGTCATTTTTTTCAATTACTAGTCAATTGTGTTCTTTCTCAATTTTTAGATAGTTTTATCTTACAGGATTTACAAGGGCATTTTGAACGTCCAGAAATTATCAACAACGTGAGTGTCATTAACTTATGATCAATAACTATTGAACAAAGGACAAATAATTTATATTTAAAAATTTTTTTTACAGCCTATATACCAACTTTTATTAAATTCAGCTGATGGCAAAAGTGTTTTAAAATATTATCGAGATAATGGGATGCTTGAAGAAAACCTTAAGAAATTTACTCAGCAGACTTATACTCAGCCCTGAAAAAGATAGACAATTAGAAACAGTTCTCCAAGTGCCAAATAAAGATATTTTAGAAAAATTTCAGTAAGTTAAGATGTGCAGTTATACTATACTATAATAATTATTCACAAAAATTGTAGCAATATTAAAGTATGTCTTATTGTTAAAAAATTAATAAGTACATTCCTCTACGAAAAAACTGAATGTTATCGATTGTACAACGATCAGTATACGTGGGATGTACTAAATTTGGATGACCTATTTAGCTTTAAAATTACGAATCTTGTAAGAGCATCTAATGGTGCGAAATTTATTCTCAAAAATTGGTTTTAATTTAAATAAAGATATATTTAATAATTCATAAAAGTGTTTTATCATTATCAAATTCAACCGCGATTCCTTAATTTCCCTAAATCAAAAAAACATTATTAATTTTTTACGTTACAGCCTTTTTTTGAATCAAAAATAAATAATAAGCTGTAGAGAAATTAATACATTGATATATAAATATGTTAAGCATACTTAGAAATTTTACTAAATCGATAAGGAAGTTTTCTAATACAGCACATTAAATTTTACCATGCCAGCACAACAATTTTTATGAAGCCATGACTAATACTCTTTATGTTTCAATTTGATATATTTACGTTTTCAATTTAATAATATTTACATGATCGTAAAATACTTTTTACTTTGGTCGTCGATCGCGCACGCATTATAAGAGAGCATGGTAATTTTTCTGAAATTTTCTCTACAAAAA